CCCAGACCCTGCATTTATTATATCCGCTGTCCCAGGACCCTGCATTCACTATATCCGCTCTACCTGGACCCTGCATTCACTATATCCACTCTCCCCGAACCCTGCATTCACTGTATCCGCTCTCCCCGAAGCCTGTATTCACTATATCTGGTCTCCCCGGACCCTGCATTCACTATATCTTGTCTCTCTCGGACCCTGTATTCACTATATTTGCTCTCCCCGGACCCTGTATTCACTATATTCGCTCTCCCCGGACCCTGCATTCACTATATCTGGTCTCCCTGGATCCTGCATTCACTATATCTGGTCTCCCCCCGAACCCTGCATTCACTATATCTGGTCTCCTCGGACCCTGCATTCACCATATCCGCTCTCCCCAATCCCTGCATTCACTATATATGGTCTCCCCGGCCCCTGCATTTACTATATCCGCCCTCCCCAGACCCTGCATTCATTATATCCGCTCTCCCCTGGAACCTGCATTCATTATATCCGCTCTCCCCGAACCATGCATTCACTATATCCCTTCTCCCAGGACCCTGTATTCACTATATCCACTCTCCCTGGATGCTGCATTCACTATGTCCGCTCTCCCTGAACTCTGCATTCACTATATCCGCTCTCCCAGGACCCTGCCTTCACTATATCTGGTCTCCCCAGACCCTGCATTCCCTATATTCGCTCTCCCCGGACCCCGCATTCACTATATCCGCTCTCCCTGGACCCTGCATTCACTATATCCGGTCTCCCGGACCCTGCATTCACTATATCTGGTCTCCCACAGTACACACAACATGGAAATGTAATTATTTTAGTAAATATAAACTGCTAAATCCCTTTTCTCATCAGCTGTTAGAGCAGTCTTGTAACTTCAATTAGTGTCAGGCCGAGCACTGGCTAAAGCTAAATTCTGCTCTGGACTGTCCTATGAGGCTGCATGACCTCGACCCTCTGGACAGTGCTGATAGGCCCTGTGCTGATCACATGAACCCTTTCAAAGAAAAAAAAAACTCTCTAGCAATACACACCAAACTGAGCATGTGCATAGTGACTCCTTGAGCTCTGCACTATCAGCAGATGGATTGGGGACACTGGAAAAAGGGGAGAATCAGAGAAGAGAGGATCAAACAGCTTTTTTACACAAGGTGGATTTACCCCTTAGGTTCCACAGTGAGTATAACAAGCACACTTTACTGCATATACAGACTGATTTTTCTGCTGTGGGTTTAGTAACACTTTAAGTGGAATTCCAGACTATTTTTGTTTTTTCAGTTTATAAAGCATGGAATCATTTCTGGGGACAGACCTCACTTTCAGCAGGCTATCTCTTAATTAAAAATTGTCAAAAATTCTGTCCCCTCCTGTAACTCCTGGGCTGGCCTGGTGTTGGGGGACTTTTTATTATTTGTTTTTAGTGATGTTGATTGAGGTTGACATTTCATACTGACAGAAGTCTCAATTGTATCCTTAGCCCCACCACCAGGCCAGCCCAGGAGTTACATAGGATTACTACAGCTGCACTGCAACCCATCCTGATACTTCAGCTCATGGGGACTAGCATGGCTGAAGCCCCAATGCCCCAACTATTCTCTTACCTGTAGCCAGGTTCTGGACTACAGAAACATGGAGTAGGAGGCATTTCCCTCTTTACAATCAGTTTACTAAATGTTGTGTTCCACAACACAGGAGAACTACAGTTGCAAGAAAAAGTATGTGAACCCCTTGGGATTACGTGGAGTTTTGCATGAATTTGGCATAAAATGTGCTCTGAACGTCATCTAAGTCCCAACAATAGAAGAACACAGTCTACTGAACATAATACTACACAAACATTAGATGTTGCCATGGTTTAATTGCACATAACACGTAAACATTCACAGTGCAGGGAGGAAAAAGTATGTGAGGCCCTAGCTTAATGACTTCTCCCAGAGCTAATTGGAGCCAGGAGTGAGCCAACCTTGACTCCAATCAGTGTGATGATATTGGATGTGTTGCTGACAGCTGTCCTGCCCTTAAAAAAAAACACCTGTTTTGGGTTTACTGGTTTCAAGAAGCACTGTCTGATGTGAACCATGCCTCGCAGAAAAGAGCTCTCAGAAGACCTACGATCAAGAATTGTTGACTTGCATGAAGCTGGAAAGGGTTACAAAAGTATCTCCAAAAGCCTTGATGTTCATGTGTCCATGGTAAGACAGACTGTCTACAAATGGAGAAAGTTTAGCACTGTTGCTACTCTTCCTAGGTGCAGTCGTCCTGTAAAAATGACTGCAAGAGCACAGCGCAGAATGCTGCATGAGGTAAAGAAGAATCCCAGAGTGTCAGCTAAAGACCTACAGAAATCTCTGGCACATGCTAACATTTTTGTTGACACATCTACAATAAGGAAAACATTAAACAAGAATGGAGTACATGGGAGGACACCACGGAGGAAGCCATTGCTGTCCAAAAAGAATATTGCAGCACGTTTGAAGTTTGCAAAAGAGCACCTGGATGTTCCTCAGCACTACTGGCAAAATATACTGTGGACAGATGAAACCAAAATTGAGTTGTTTGGGAAGAACACACAACACTATGTGTGGAAAAAAAAAGGCACAGCACACCAACATCAAAACCTCATCCCCACTGTAAAACATGGCGGAGGGAGCATCATGGTTTGGGGCTGCTTTGCTGCCTCAGGGCCTGGACGGATTGTTGTCATTGATGGGAAAATGAATTCCAGAGTTTATCAAGACATTTTGCAGGAAAACGTACGACCATCTGTCCGCCAACTGAAGCTCCGCAGAGGATGGGTGATGCAACAGGACAATGACCCAAAGCATACAAGTAATTCAACAAACCAATGGTTGCAACAGCACAGAATACGCCTTCTGGAGTGGCCCAGTCAGAGTCCTGACCTCAACCCGACTGAAATGCTGTGGCATGACCTTAGGAGAGCGATTCTCACCAGACATCCCAAAAATATTGCTACACTGAAACAGTTTTGTGAAGAGGAGTGGTCCAAAATTACTCCAGATCGTTGTGCAGGTCTGATCTGCAACTACAGGAAACGTTTGGTTGAGGTTATTGCTCCCAAAGGAGGGTCAACCAGTTATTAAGGCCAAAGGTTCACATACTTTTTCCTCCCTGCACTGTGAATGTTTACATGTTATGTGCAATTAAACCATGGCAACATCTAATGTTTGTGTAGTATTATGTTCAGCAGACTGTGTTCTTCTATTGTTGTGACTTAGATGACGTTCAGAGCACATTTTATGCCCAATTCATGCAAAACTCCACGTAATCCCAAGGTTCGCATACTTTTTCTTGCAACTGTATAGCCAGGAAAGCCTATGGACTTCTATGCAGAATTCTTGGGATCATGGGAATTGTAGTCTGAAACATCAATCTGAAAGTGGGACTTATGGACCTTTACAATACAGTTCACCTAGGACATTGCGGAGGAAGGGGAGCGGTGAAATAGCTTTTAACAGATTGCTCTAGGAACTTCTTCCTCTTGGCCCTCAGTGAAGCAATGAGGGTACATCTGCTGTATACCGATCAGACTGCTGAGGAGCCAGACCAGCAGACACATCCAAGGCAGTGCAGCAAAGACTGCAGCGATTGCATCTGCACCATTTCCACAGGAAGACCAATGTATCATCTCACCCTCAACTTCCCACCGCTGAATCTCCAGAGACATTCTGTGAAGAGAGTGAGGGGACTTGCTTTCTACAGCAAGAGTTCAGAGCCGCATCACAGGGACTGGTGAAAAGGCTGGTGGCATTCAATCACCTCCAAAAAGGTACCATTTTCCCCCAGAAGCTTTACAGGCCTCAGTCATTATGATTTCAAAACCATAGCCAGACCCAATTTCCTAGTCAGGTTATTGCCCCATCTTACTACTCAACCAATGTTAAATTATTAGCAAAATTTTGCCTAACAGAATTAACACTTTTTTAGCACCTTCATCCACAGAGGTCAGGTTGGCTTTGTGCCTTCACATCAGGCAGAGGATATTGTCCATCGAGTCCTACAGCTTATTAACATTGCCAAATCTAGATCGCTCAAGGCTATGTTGCTTTGTCTTAACATTTGTTGCTTTTTTGTTGCTTTTCCCCTTAACATTTGTAAGGAGAACGGTGAAATAGCTTTTAACAGATTGCTCTAGGAACTTCTTCCTCTTGGCACTCAATAAAGCAATGAGGGCACATCTGCTGTATACCGATCAGAGTTGCCACAGGAAGACTAATGCATCCTCTCACCCTCTACTTCCCACCGCTGAATCTCCAGAGACATTCTGTGGAGAGAGTGAGGGGGTGTCAGGGCTCCCGGGTATGACCAGAGGTGTGTGACTGACGCAGGGAAACGCAGACTTCAGATATGTTATAAACAATATAATTTATTAACACTAACAATACAAACATAAACGCAGTGCAATACTAAAACATAACACAGTGCAAACAAACCAAACCAAACCACCCACAGATGACAGTACATACAATGCAAGCGTCATCAGGCAGGCCGGGTCAATATCAATCGGGCAGGTAGGTAAAGGGGGAGCAAGCGGAGAATGGTCGGGGTCACAAGCCAGGTTCAGCAGGTAGCGGGCAGCGTGGTACAGAGGGTCAGGCAGAGGGATGGTCAGGAACGAGCCGGGGTCAGAGCAGGAGAAGTCAGCAGAGGTCCAGATCAGGCAGGGTCAGCAACAAGACAGGAACAGGATGCAGGAACAAGATACAGGGCCCAGGAAAAACACACACCAAGGCAGAGTCTGCAGGTCTGGCCATCCCTTAAATACACCAGTATAAGCAGTTTCAGGTGTTTGGCTGGCTGCAAGGTTGAGTCTTTGATTGCTGGGAGCACCCGCTGGCCAGCCCTGGTACTGCAGCCCATAAGGCAGGTGAGTCCCACCATTGCTGGCCAGTCCATTCCTGACAGTACCCCCCCCCTCAAGGAGCGGCCTCAGGACGCTTCAAACAGTCCTAGCTGGGCAAAATGTTCCACCGCCCGGGTCTGGTAACTGGCGGGATATCAAAGACTGGCACACCAGGCAGGACTCCGGGCAGCGGCACACCGGGCAGAGGCACACCCGGCAGGGGCACACCGGGCAGAGGCACATCGGGCTGGACTCCGGGCAGAGGCACATCGGGCTGGACTCCGGGCAGAGGCACATCGGGCTGGACTCCGGGCAGAGGCACATCGGATCACCAGGCGAAGCGGCAGGCAGCGGGCCACCAGGCGGAGCGGCAGGCAGCGGGCCACCAGGCGGGGGCGGCAGGCAGCGGGCCACCAGGCGGGGCGGCAGGCAGCGGGCTACCAGGCGGGGCGGCAGGCACCGGGCCCCCAGGTGGGGCGGCGGGCACCGGGCCCCCAGGCGGGGGGGGGCGGGCACCGGGCCCCCAGGCGGGGCGACGGGCACCGGGCCCCCAGGCGGGGCGACGGGCATCGGGCCCCCAGGCGGAGCGGCAGGTGCCGGGCCCCCAGGAGGGGCGGCGGGCGCCGGGCCCCCAGGAGGGGCAACAGGCATTGGGCCCCCAGGAGGGGCGACAGGCATCGGGCCCCTAGGAGGGGCGACAGGCATCGGGCCCCCAGGCGGGGCGACAGGCATCGGGCCCCCAGGCGGGGCGACAGGCATCGGGCCCCCAGGCGGAGCGGTGGGCGCCGGGCCCCCAGGAGGGGCGACAGGCATCGGGCCCCCAGGCGGAGCGGTGGGCGCCGGGCCCCCAGGCGGAGCGACAGGTCTCGGGCCCCCAGGCGGAGCGGCGGGCGCCAGGCCCCCAGGTGGAGCGACAGGTCCTGGGCCCCCAGGCGGAGCGGCGGGCGCCGGACCCCCAGGCGGAGCGACAGGTCTCGGTCCCCCAGGCGGAGCAGCGGGCGCCGGACCCCCAGGCGGAGCAACAGATCTCGGGCCCCAAGGCGGAGCGGCGGGCGCCGGACCCCCAGGCGGAGCGACAGGTACCGAGTCACCAGGTACAACAGTGGGCTCCGAGTCAACTGGCATGACTGCGGGCACTGTGTCAGACATTGGATCGTCTGGCTGGACAGCGGGCATCGGGTCACCAGGCATCAGGTCATTTGGCTCGACAGCGAGCACCGCGTCATCTGGCAAGGCAGTGGGCTCCGAGTCAACTGGCATGACCGTGGGCACTGGGTCAGACATTGGACCGTCTGGCTGGACAGCGGGCATCGGGTCACCAGGCATCAGGTCATTTGGCTCGACAGCGGGCACTGCGTCATCTGGCAAGGCAGTGGGCTCTGAGTCAACTGGCATGACAATGCGCGGGCACTGGGTCAGACATTGGACCGTCTGGCTGGACAGCGGGCATCGGGTCACCAGGCATCAGGTCATTTGGCTCGACAGCGGGCACTGCGTCACCTGGCAAGGCAGTGGGCACCAAGTCACCAGGCACGACAGTGGGCTCTGAGTCAATTGGCACGACAGCGGGCACCGGGTCATCAGGTACCGGATTGTCTGGCTCGACAGCGGGCATCGGGACACCAGGTATGACAGCGGGCACTGGGTCACCAGGCATCAGGTCATTTGGCTCGCCTGCGGGCACCGCGTCATCTGGCAAGGCAGTGGGCACCGAGTCACCAGCAACGACAGCGGGCTCTGAGTCAATTGGCACGACAGCGGGCACCGGATCAGGTACCGGATCGTCTGGATCAACAGCGGGCATCGAGTCAACTGGCCTAATAGGATCATCAGGCTGGATCAGTTCATCATGCTGGGTAGAGGCATCAGGCTGAATGGAGGCATCAGGCTGAAGAGAGGCATCAGGCTGAGTAGAGGCATCAGGCTGAGTAGAGGCATCAGGCTGAATAGAGGCATCAGGCTGGGTACAGCATCAGGGGTACAGGCATGGGTACAGGCATCAGGCTGAAGTGCGGGTGCCGAGGCACCAGGCTGAACCACGGAAGGCAGGTTCTCAGACGGCAGGCTCACCGGTTTGGATACTGGCAGGATGGTATTGGTTGGAAAGAATTTTCGCTTTTTTCTGGTTTTAACTACTGGAGCACTGCAAGTAAATGCAGGTCTGCAAACGAATGGAGCAGCTGGAGACAGAGAAGAGCTGGAGGATGGAACAGGGGAGGGAACAGTTGCTACAGAGGACTTCTTTACAGGGTTAAAGGCAGGATAGGTGCAGCGAGTGGGAACAGGGTACTGACATGCGGTAGATAGCAGGGCAGGAGGAAAGGGGGAATGCAGGAATAGAGCTTTGAGGAAATAGATTAGAAGCAGGACTGGGTTTTTGCAAGCTGACTGAGGCTGGGTGCAACAAATCTGTCCATGTCTGCAGTATGGGTTGAACAAAGCTGAGCTTACACAAAGCCTGTCTGGTCAAAGACTGCACTGCGTTTATACAATCTCTTAGTAGCTATGGTGAACATGCAGAATAACGCTCCAGAAAGTAACCCACATCATCCTCTAATAACCATACCAGGGACTCTACCTGGTCGGCACTAAATGGCGGCAAAAATTCATCCTTGCATTCGGGGGTACCAGATGAAACCAACTCAGCACAAACCTGAATCAATGGCTGCACCTCAGAGAATTCTGTGCCCTGATCTACTAGAACATGAGCGATCCGTATACATTCTAGCAGTCGATCCCGGGGATACTCCTTCAGAGTCTGATAAGCATACTCTCTGTCATCAAACACTAGCAGAGATAAATACACAACCTCATCAAGATCCATCCTTCCCAGCAACAATAAGCCAAGATGGCTTCCCTGTGCAGCCACTTCTGGTCAGGATTGGCCTTGGTGTAATGTCAGGGCTCCCGGGTATGACCAGAGGTGTGTGACTGACGCAGGGAAACGCAGACTTCAGATATGTTATAAAACAATATAATTTATTAACACTAACAATACAAACATAAACGCAGTGCAATACTAAAACATAACACAGTGCAAACAAACCAAACCACCCACAGATGACAGTACATACAATGCAAGCGTCGTCAGGCAGGCCGGGTCAATATCAATCGGGCAGGTAGGTAAAGGGGGAGCAAGCGGAGAATGGTCGGGGTCAAAAGCCAGGTTCAGCAGGTAGCGGGCAGCGTGGTACAGAGGGTCAGGCAGAGGGATGGTCAGGAACGAGCCGGGGTCAGAGCAGGAGAAGTCAGCAGAGGTCCAGATCAGGCAGGGTCAGCAACAAGACAGGAACAGGAACAGGATGCAGGAACAAGATACAGGGCTCAGGAAAAACACACACCAAGGCAGAGTCTGCAGGTCTGGCCATCCCTTAAATACACCAGTATAAGCAGTTTCAGGTGTTTGGCTGGCTGCAAGGTTGAGTCTCTGATTGCTGGGAGCACCCGCTGGCCAGCCCTGGTACTGCAGCCCATAAGGCAGGTGAGTCCCACCATTGCTGGCCAGTCCATTCCTGACAGGGGGCATGTTTTCTACAGCAAGAGTTCACAGCCGCATCACAGGTGAAAGGGCCAGTGGCGTTCAACCAGCTCCAGAAAGGTACCATTTTCCCCCCGAAGTGTTACAGGCCTCAGTCGTTATAATTCCAAAACCACAGCAAGACCCACATTCCTGGTCAGGTTATTGCCACATCTTACTACTCAACCAATGTTAAATTATTAGCAAAAATATTGGCTAACAGAATTAACACTTTTTTATCACCTTCATCCACAGAGGTCAGGTTGGCTTTGTGCCTTCACATCAGGCAGAGGATAATGTCCATCAAGTGCTACAGCTTATTACCCACATGGAAGAAAAATATATTTGAAATACTACAATTTTGGCCATATTCAATATATTTATATATACAGTTGTGTTCAAAATAATAGCAGTTAGACATCACTAACCTGATCAATCATTGTTTTTGGTAGAAATGATATTTCTACATGGCAAATAATTTACTAGCAGGTGTAGTAGAGTAATAGAAATCCAACAGTCATGAAATGCATGCTGCTGATTCTGTGTAATTGAATCACTAATTGAAAGGGGCATGTTCAAAATAATAGCAGTGTGGAGTTCTATTAATGAGGTCATTCATTCTTTGAAAAACAGGTGGCAATTATTGCCCTTATTTAAGGAAGGAAGGCAGCAAATGTTGTACATTCTGGTTACAGTGCATTTCTCTCTGAAATTCTGAGGAAAATGGGTCGTTCCAGACATTGTTCAGAAGAACAGCGTACCTTGATTAAAAAGTTGATTGAAGAGGGGAAAACAGCTAAAATGATCGCAAATGCTTTAAAATGGCAACCAAAACCTGGAAGTTGTGGAAGAAAGCGAAAAACTACCATTCGAATGGATAGAAAAATAGCCAAAATGGCAAGGACTCAGCCAACAATCAGCTCCAGGAAGATCAAAGAAGGTCTAAAGTTACCTGTGAGTACTGTTACAATTAGAAGACGCCTATGTGAAGCCAAGCTATCTGCAAGAAGCCCCCGCAAAGTCCCACTGTTGAAAAAAAAGACATGTGCTGAAGAGGTTACAATTTGCCAAAGAGCACATTGACTGGCCTAAAGAGAAATGGCGCAACATTTTGTGGACTGATGAAAGTAAGATTGTTCTTTTTGGGTCTAGTGGCCAGAAACAGTTTGTCAGACGACCCCCAAACACTGAATTCAAGCCACAGTACACTGTGAAGACAGTGAAGCATGGTTGTGCAAGCATCATGATATGGGGATGTTTCTCATACTACGGTGTTGGGCCTATTTATCGCATACCAGGGATCATGGATCAGTTTGAATACATCAGAATACTTGAAGAGGTCATGCTGCCTTATGCAGAAGAGGAAATGCCCTTGAAATGGGTGTTCCAACAAGACAACGACCCCAAACACACTGGTAAACGTGCAACATCTTGGTTCTAGACCAGGGGTGGGCAAACTTTTTGACTTGAGGGCCACAATGGGTTCATATATTGGACCCGGGGGCCGGACCAAGAGTAGATGAATGATGTGTATGTGTGAATTAATATAAATTAAATAAAAATTTTACTTTCCTTTGCTCTGCGCGTTCCTCTCGCCGCGTTCCCGCGCCGTTCCGGTCTTCAGGGCGGACTGTGAGAGGAGCCTAGCTCCCTTCACGTTCGTCACGCTGCCCCGCCTACACACAGCCTGACAGCCAATCACTGGCTATCAGGATGTGAGTGGCAGCGAGACTGGCCAATCATTGCATTTGAGCGCGCTGAATGATGCAAATGTTTGCCTGCCCTGGCTGGTTTTTTTTTGTATCAGGCTCTGCGGGCCGGATTAAAAGGTCCGCCGGGCCGTATACGGCCCGCGGGCCGTAGTTTGCCCATTGCTGTTCTAGACCAACAAGATTGACGTTATGGAGTGGCCAGCCCAATCCCCGGATCTTAATCCAATAGAAAACTTGTGGGGTGACATAAAAAATGCAGTTTCTGAGGCAAAACCAAGAAATAGAGAAGAACTGTGGAATGTAGTCCAATCATCCTGGGCTGGAATACCTGTTCACAGGTGCCAGAAGTTGGTTGACTCCATGCAACACAGATGTACAGCAGTTCTCAGAAACAGTGCTTATACAACTAAATATTAAGTGATTCAAAGGAAAGTAAAATCTTCAAACATTTTTCAGTTTATATAGTGAATGTTTGAGTTTGTAAAGAAGAATACAAACACTGCTATTTTTTGAACAGTCTAATATTCACTTTTCTTCAATTTTTTTAGAGGAACAACACAAATTTGATATATTTTTCTTCATGTTTTGATTTGGAATAGAATGTGTAGTGTTCCCAATGCAATTATGTGTATGGAAATAAATGGAATTGTGAGCTTTACTCACTTTTTTTCAACACACTGCTATTATTTTGAACACAACGGTATATATACTGCATGTTGAAATGCATTTTTATTACAAAATACATTAAAATTATTTCTAAAAATACATTTCAAATATACTGTATGTCTTTAAAAATACAAATCTACATTTTTGAAATGCGTTTACACTACATGTAAAAATATGTTAAAAAAAACTGAAGAATATATTTTAAAAAAATATATTTTTTAAAAATATATTTTTTTTAAAATATATCCTTCAGATTTTGTTTTAACATATAAAAAAGTAATTTTAACATATATTTGTAAATGCATTCCAAAAATGTAGATTTGTATTTTTAACCACTTGCCTACAGGGCACTTATACCCCCTTCCTGCCCAGGCCAGTTTTCAGCTTTCAGTGCTGTTGCACTTTGAATGACAATTGCGCGGTCATGCAACACTGTACCCATATGAGATTTTTATCTTTTTTTTAGACAGATAGAGCTTTCTTTTGGTGGTATTTAATCACCTCTGGCTTTTTATTTTTTGCTAAACAAACCAAAAACTGAAAAATGTAAAAAAAAAAAAGTTTTTTCTTAGTTTTTGTTATAACATTTGGTAAATAAGTGATTTTTCTCCTTCACTGATGTGCGCTAATGAGGCTGCACTGATGGACACTGATAGGTGGCACTGATGAGGAGGCACTAGTAGGTGGCACTGATGGGCAATGACAGGCATCACTGATGGGCACTGGAAGGCAGCACTGATATATGGCACTGATAGGTGGCACTGACTGGCACAGTTAGGTGGCACTGACTGGCACTGACAGGTGACACTGAAAGTCAGCTCAGGTGGGCACTGATATGTGGCATTGATGTGCACTGGTAGGCACTGATAATCGGCATTTCCCTATTTACATGCGATCAGCTGTGATTGGACACTGCTGATCACATGACCAAGCCGACATCTTCGGCTCTTTCCGTTGATCGGTGATCCGCTGTGTCCGAGGGCACTATTCCTCCTACTGATACCAATGATGGGGCACTATTCCTCCCACTGATACCAATGATGATGGGGCACTATTCCTCCCACTGATACCAATAGTGTGACACTATTCCTCGCACTGCCACCAGTCATGACGCAATTTTTACTGCCACTGAAACCAGGACTTTTTCTACTCCCACTGGCCACAGTCCGGC